AACCAAACACAATGAGATCTATTGGATGGGAATCGAAATAATTTTAATTTCCGCTGTGCATGTATAAGTAGATTCCCAACAATCACATCGTGAAGTTTTTGGAATCAAATTAGTATACATTTATTTTTCTATGACACACGGAAATAGAAATATGTGTTCTAATTGCGAAACTTTACTTCGACTCCCTTTCTAATTTTCTAATTATTACATCATAGCTACGGATTTTGTGTTCATCAAATGAATGATGGTGATTAAGAAAATCCAGTGACCCACGAATATTGTTGTTTTCTCAAGGTGGTTGTCTCTATAGCAAACAAATCTTTGTTTTTTTTCTCTTTCCCTTCACTTTTACACTTTATTTCAAGGGCTCATATGATAAGAATTTTGAGAATTAATTTTTGACCGGTAGAAGAAAAGTGGAGGTCACATGTGAGTAAAAAAATCAAAAATAACGATTGAAATAGTGAAATAACGATTAAAAAATTAATTTTCTGTGATTAAAATTCCCCGGGCCTTGACGTGCTAGGCGTGGAATTGCTGCTTCTACTTAATTCCCGGTGAGAATTTTTGTCTTATCCGGTAAAAATCTTTTCATGTACATCAGAATGTATGTTTTTATATGGTTGATTAGATAGCACAAAGATAAAGATAATATTAAAAAGAAAAGAAAAGAAAAAAGAATCTTGTTCTTTGAGTACCCAACACGGTTTAACACTGACTAGTGATGGCATCAGTTTAAAGCTGACAGTTATTACTGCGCTAAAGATAAGTTCCTTACCACTGACCTCATATATATGGGTTCGGCTACATGTACACGAGGTGTATACTTCGATTTATACGTCCTTCACATGGGAGGTAGACCGAAAACATTTAATGGGTGTGGAGCCCCTTTCTATGTGAGGGGCTTGTACACTGGAGTGTACACCCCCGTGTACAAATGACTTTTTCCTATATAGAAACTCCAATAACTTTTGGTTAGTACAGTGAATATCCCACAACCATACTATGTGTAGTTAAAAAATATGAAAAAAATTTGAATTTGCTCGTAATATTATTTATTGAAAATTGTGTGGTCATGCAAAATATTCTGTATTGTGTTTTACTTCATTGTTCCGTTTTTCAAAGTTCAATAGACAGAAAACACAAGTTCTGAAAATTGACAAGGTTGTGTTTTTTTTTTTTTTTTTTTTAAATTCGAAATAAAAACTCCCTTTTCAATTTTCTAGTGATTAAATTATGAATTTATGATCACAAATATTGTCTTCAACAAATGAATGATGGGTGCTAAGAAAAGACACTGACCCATGAAATTTGTTGTTTTCTCAATGTCTCAAGACCTCCTACATAAGGGTCCTTGTATTCTGTTGTTAACACTTCCATCATTGTGCTTTATTCAATTGACAAATGACAACTAGATGTTAAATTTTGTCGAATTTTCTTGATTCATTTTAAATAAGGCTTCTTGTTGTCTCTGTCCTTAGTCACATCTTTGTTTTTACTTTTTTCTTTTTAGACATGAAATTCTATCTTGTGCTTAATCTCGGTGAATTTTCTATCCTATAGGGAAAAAAGCTTATTTCATTGTCGTTAGATGGTTTATTCAAAGATTAGTAACATTAACTCCATGTGTGTAAATCAGTGTCTATATTCAAAAATCTGTACATATGCATGTTAATAACGTGTTAGATAAAACTATGCAGTGTTAAGAGAAAAAAATAAAAAATAAAATAAAGAATCTTGTTCGTTCTACTGTTGAGCATGATATAGAACTGCATATTGAACATGCATTAGCAATGGCGTCGTTCGTCATTTTTAATTGGGAGACTCGAGTTGCTATTTTTGGTTGGGGGGGGGGGGACCTCATCCAAAAGAAGTCAGCATCTTCAATGGTGGTGTAAAATTAGGTACAAATTCATCTCTAAAATCATTTTTACATCTCGATGGGTCTACATTCAAATTCTCCAATAGAAATATAAATATGAGAGGATTGTCTTGAAACTTCTTGTTTGAAGAAAGGAAATGATAACTACATGCCAAGCAATATCAGCCTTTGGTGTTTCACTACAGTATAATTTGTTTGTATCTAAATTGTTGAGAGGGTCATTTACACAAAAGATGGTTTATATTTATGTATATATACCAGATGGTTTATTCTATGGTAGTTTTTAGGTTATTTGTTTTTTAACACTCCCTTTTATGTTTTAGTATTAGTTTCCTTTCATTGGTAGTGAGTTGAGACTATATCTTTTGGATGTAGATATGTATGTCACTACAATGAAGTTTGCTTTTATGTTGTACGCCGTATAAAGCAATTCCGTAAAAGTTCTTCACAAGGGAATCTTATGTAGTTAGAATGGTGATTGTGCTTTTTAAAATTTCTACTGGTCAATTTCAAAATTTGCAAATGGAAACCAGGTTGGGAAAGCACTTGTGGGTCTGATTTAAAAAATACATTATTTAGATTTTTTTAACTTTATGTCTATTCAATGACAATTTTTTTTTTACATTATGGGTGATGCTAAATGTACACTTCCAATGTACATAATGTTTTACACCTCTTAACATGGAGGAGGGTCTGCATATAATTTTTTATGCGTCGGCCTCCCTCCATGTAAGGGAGATGCAAATGATTATGTAAACGGAAAGTGTACAAGTAGATTAATCCTTACATCAAAGTCCTTTTTGGAGGAAATTAAAATCAAAATTTTAGTCTAAATTAAAACCAATATTAACAATCCTAATAAAAGTTTCATCACAGTCAAAATAAACCACATGTCCTAATTGGTAGGGTATTTGACCGTATGACCTTAACAAAATAAATTACCACGTTTATTTACTAGCCTAGGACAAATCGATTCTCAATCGAGTTATGATTTATGTGTATTTGTACTTCTCAAGACAAAGACATTACTTATATTATCACAAAAAGTGACCGAACATCGCATGCTCATAATTTAAATGATTTAAAACTTTCCTCAATTGAATTTTCAGCCAGAGCACGAGCAATTGTGTCCAGCCTGAATCCTGGTGACACTTCGACGGGAAAACATTATAAGAATTTTACAACTGTTTCTACTGAAATTTGTATTATACGGAGACGGGTGTCTCGTGTTATTGACCAGGTATTGATATAAATATACAAGGACAAACTCCACAAGATAATGGATAATATATAGAATCTTTCATCTAATAATAGACACAAAGCCAAACTCAAACAAGATAAACATAAAGGCCAATCAATATCTTTTGGAAAAATAAAACAAATTATTTGCCACATCAAGAAAGATCATCAATTAAAAATACGATTAGGTAACACGTTCAAAAGCGAAATCTTAAAGCCGAAAACAAAACCCAGCTGAAAAAGATCATCCTTTTTTACATTTTCTGCCGAAAAATACAATTTGCACTTTCTTTGCCTCTCGAGGTTTCTGGCCACTTTGGAGATCTAAATTACACCACCATTGGAGATGCTGTAAAGGATATAGAAGTGAGATTACACATGCTTCTATTGGAGCTCCACCACATCAAATCGCAGAAATGATGATCTTAATAACTAGAGAAATGGTTTGTTGGCTTATATTTGTTGTTCTTGTTTCAGTTGGAATCAATACAAGCTTCGAATCCCTCCTATGGCTTTTCTCAGATTCCCTTATACTGCTAAAATTGGAAGCGAATATTTTGCCCTGTGCTCGTATTAACTTCTTTGTTGTAATCGCTTCCACTGTCAGTATCAGAATCACAGTCATCACTCTGCAAAGAAGGTAGCTCCCTTAAAGTGATTGAATCAGTGAAATGAGGCCCCTTCTCTAGGAGAACCAGACTCTTGATGTAACCATCGACATGAACAGAGCGCAGATATTCCTCCAATCTAGAGCCATGGACTCCAAGATCAGTAACTTCTTCTCCACTGGAGCCACAAGAAACCATAGAGCCATCCTTTGTAACTATTAAAACTTCACCATCTCTTCTAATCCACAATGGCTTCATAAATCCCCTGCCAAAATCGTGAAAATTAATGTTGAATTGTTTGTTCCATGACTCCACGACGCCATATTCCTCCATCACCCATACACAAAAATCATGTTCTACCCCAGATACATCATTTAAAACAAAAGCAAGCGATTCCTTATAGATCATCAATTCCTTATTTCTCGCAGAATCATCTTTTGCAAGACTACCAGGCAGTATCACCGTCCTGAACACCTCGTCACACATATCAAACAACAAAATCGTATCATTTCCATACAAGTCACGACCAATCCAATGAGCAGCGCCATTTATATAAGCCTGGCGTGACTTATTATGTATAACGTACTGAAGCGACAAATGACTAATGTCTTGCCACACCCCTATGCTCAACCTATAAAGCTCAACCTGAGGCAGGCATCTACCCAAATCAGTGTATGTAATTCTAACAACTTTATAGTCATTTCTAACAGGATCGAACCCGAATCCAAGCGATTGCATAAAACTACCATATGAATTGTATACCATATTGGGTTTCGGAAGAAGAACTGACTTTTTAACACACGGGTTCCAAATAATTATAGTGTTCATATAAAATACTCGATCATCAGAAAGACATAACAATCCATTGCAGCTACCGATGATTGTGAAAAATGAGTTTATGCTTCTAAAGGGGAATTGGAGCCTAAAATGCCGATCAAAAGATTCATTATCATAGAACAACTCGTAACGCTCATTTTTTCTAATGCAACGCCTTAATAAAAGTAGAGGGGAACCTTCACTGCTAGCAACGCTGAAATTCAGATGAATGGAAATAAATTCTGGGCTAGTGATTAGTGTGTACCATGATCTTGAAACGGACATGCAGCAGATAAGGGGCTTGACGGGCAGTCTTTTGAGGATGTTGGTGATGATTCCTTCAGGCAAAAAATCCGACATTTTTCCTGTTCTTGAACTTTTGATTTACAGATATTAATAGTTTTTTGGAGAAGAAAAAAAAAACCCCAGATTTCAATTATAAATCATGATAAGTTTTGGTTATAGAACTGTTTTCTCTACGGTTCAATTATCCCAACCTAACCCCGCCATCCTTAAATTAAATTTCATTTTTTCTTACTCCAATTTTCAATCACCAATTTTCCATAAAATAATATTACATATAAATCGAAATTCTTTATTTATTTTTCAAACACTCATTTTTCAAAAAAAATAAAAAATATTATTACACTCATTTTAATTTGAAAAAATGATGACGGAGCTACTCTACAAGGTCATTCTACCAAATTTTGTACCGGTTACTCACATGAGATGGGTTCGATCTCATTAAAATAATGCCCAAAAATGCACTACCTCCTTTATGTGAATATTAACCCCACCCTGACAGAGCAGCAAGACCCATCCCAAGTATCTCCAGTCAGTTGAATGCGTTCGATCTTGGAAATTTGTGTTGCAGTGATTTCATTCAATGCCATATATTCATTATTTTTCATTTTCTCATCAGCAATTATTATTCATCATTTTCTCTTCTTCTTCTTTTTTTTTTTTTTTAAATTTTTCTCTTTTTTATTTTATAACTTTCTTCTTTTTCTTTGTTTTCTAGAAGTCAAAGAAATGACAAGAAAATTATTCAATAATAAATGAAGTATTGTATAATGCAATGAATTTAGCTATCTACATTTTGAGAATCAAATAGGCTTTTTAATTATTTTATAAGTTCTAAAGATAGAGAGCATACTGGACACTTCAAAAAGAAATTTGACTATCCAAAATAAATAAAACGAGGCTAATAACTAGCCTATTCGAGATGCTTTAACGTTATAAATACAATCTGAGTTGTTTCGTATTGTATTGTATTGTATTGTCTATTAATAACTTTTAATTTTTTTTAAATAAAAAATTATTAAAAGGCTTAAACAAGTTAAAAAGTTAGGCCTATCCGATCTCGATCTCCATATTAGCAGTTAGTTCTAAGCATGGGCCGAGCCTAATATGGGGCAAGCTCCCTTAGGCATGACGACTAGATCCAAATCACACATCTAATTTGTATGCAAGACATATTATGCGGTATATTTCGTTATTTTTCACATTAATCCCATATTTATCGGAAAAATATCTGAATATTTGTTGTATTCTTTTTCAAAAGCTATATTAATTAAATTTTAATATAAAATATAGAAACTCAGATTTTTGTGAAAATTTTTGAAACACTAGGACTCTAAAGCAAAATGTCCTATTGGTGCAGCACGAGTGGTGTGTAACAAAGTGCTCAAGACTAACCAATCGTTTAGCCTTGGCGACTAGTGAAGTGCTCAAAGTTGGGTCTAGCTACAACAGTTTGTTTTGTGGATATATTCATTGGGAAAGATGTCAGGACAGCATTTGATAATATATAAGAAAAATAAGTCAAAATCTTATTCTTTATACCGTCAAATCCTCTTAAGTATTGTTCACCAAACATACATTTGGGAGATTGGATGACATCAAAGGCAAAAGGTGATGCAAATCTCCTTTTAAGATAGATTCACGTCTTTCTTGGAGTTTGAGTGTTGTATTCTTTTATTTGTCTCTTTAGTAACTTTCTTCCTTCAAATAAAATAAATTAGAAGAAGTGACACTACAACAAGAAATGAGAATACATGTCAATTAGTGGAAATATTAGAGTATCTTCGAGAGACTATATAAACACAAAATACTCCCTATTTTAGAGAATCAATGCTTAAAAAATAGGCTTAGAAATTTCTATATTTTAATTTTTTAAAATAAAGAATGGGTTTGGCTTTCCAAATTCGGATATCCAAACTCACTCGCTATTATTAATTAACAGCGATTGCAATAAATTAAAAATTTTAATAATCTACCATTTAAATTATTCAAATCACATTTGAATTAATTGATCATTAACATATTAAAAAAAAATTATGTTGAACAAGAATGAATAAAAATCAGTAAATGTTCATTGAAAAAAAATAATAAAAAAATAAAAGAGAGTCAAAATAAGGAGCATTGTCGGAATGCATAAAAAATTTAGTCCCTAAATTTAAAGATATTCCTCTCTAAAAATAGGGAGTGTTTTGGAAATACTCTTACCAATATAAATAGGGTCTGCCAGATTGCAGATTTTTTTTTTCTTTTTTTTTTTTTAAATGCTGATTTGGGGCTCTTCTCCTTATCATGCAAAATATTCTCTCCCACATTCTACTTAATTTTTTCCGTGCTTCAAAGTTCAGTAAAAAACATAAAACATCGGTTTTGTATGGTAGTTTCTTTATTGTTGGGGTAATGCTTCTATTGGACCTAAAATTTGTTCTATCACCTGAGGCAATTGTTCGACACCTTAAAATCTAAAGATAATAAACTAGTCTTGAGGCAACATCTTGAGGCCTTTAAAATTAAATTACTGTAAGTTGAATTTGTTTTTCGATCACATATTTAAATTGTAATAAAAATGTGTTATCTTGATGAAATGATTAAATGGAAGTTCACCTTGCTTATATATATATATATATATATATAGGGAGGAAATCCAAGCTGCTAGAAGAAGGAAAAATAATTGGAAGAGAAGTTTTCTTTCAATCTTTTGGGTGTGGAGTCACACGGGTCTTTTTTCCCCTCTACATAATACAAATTAGAATTTTCTCTAAGGTGTATTTTGGGTACTTCATAGGTGTTATATTCAAAGTGGGTTCTCACAAGTTTAATCAAATTGGTGATTTGTGGTGAGATAAAATTGTTGTCTTAAAGATTAATTATCGTGGTACTTCTAATTTGTTGAGGATTCAAGTTTTGGGGTACAAACTTGAATATTGTAATCGATATTTTTGGCTGGAGTTGCCTCGTGGTTTTTTTTCCCTCTACACTGGAGGGTCTTTTCACGTAAAACTTGGGGTTGCGTTTTGCTTGTTTTTACTTTGATTATTTACTTGCATATTTAATCACTCTAACTAATTGCTTAGATGGGTGAAATTATTCTTGTAATAAGTAAAATTGTCCAACAAAGTTGTATCATAGCTCAAGTTGAGTGAGTGTGATTTATTACGGGAATAAATGGAGAATACTTCGGGTACTATGATTAAGTTATCAGTTTCAAATTATTCTATTTGGAAGCCTGTGATGGAAGATATCCTTTATTGTAAGGATTTACATGAACATATTGAAGGTAATGGTGCTAAACCAAGTAATATGAGTGATAGTGACTGGAAGAAGATGAATAGGAAAGCCATTGGATATATTAGATAGTGAGTTGACCTTAATGTATTCCATCATATATCTTAAGAGACAAATGCCCATAGTTTTTGAGAAAAGTTAGAGAGTCTCTATGAGAGGAAGACTGCTCAAAATAAAGCTTTTGCTATTATAAAGCTTGTAAATTTGAAGCTAAAGGAGAGAAAATCAGTTGCTGAACATTTGAGTGAATTCCAAGACTTGATAAATCAGTTGGCCACAATGAAAATAGTACTAGATGATGAGATGCAAGCACTATTACTTTTTAGTTCATTGTCTGATAGTTGGGAGACTTCGTGGTATCACTTAGTTACTCTGCTCCGAATGGTGTGCTTGAACTTACTCTAATTAAAGACATTTTGTTTAATGAAAAAATACGAAATAAAGATTTGGATAGGAATGATGCACATGCTCTTATTACAGAGAATGGAAGAATAAGTAAAAGCAGAGGTCCTAAAGGACGTGGTAACTTTAGAAGTCAATCAAAGGCATGAGGAAAGATAAAATGTTTTTATTGTAACAAAGAGGGTCATATAAAGAAACATTGCACAGCTTGGAAAAATAATTTGAAAGAAGAGAAAAATCAAAAGAAGATTGATCAGAATACGATAGCTAGCACTTCAGATGAAGTAGTGGTAGCAATTTTTTCACTGAAAATGAGCAGTGTTGTCATGTTACAGATTCATTTGTTGAATATGTTATTGACTCTGCGACTTCTTACCATATTACTCCAAGACGGGAGTTCTTCACTTTATACAAATCAGGTAACTTTGGTAGAGAGAAGGTGGGTAATGACAGTTTTGCCAGTATTATGGGCATAAGTGATATCTGTCTTCAGATAGATATTGGATGCATCTTGACATTAAAAAATGTACGACATTTTCCTGACATGCGCTTGAATTTGCTATCTACACATGTCTTTGATGAAGTAGGGTATGATAGTTATTTTGACAACGGAAGATGGAAACTAACAAAAGGTTATATGGTATTTGCTAGAGGAAATGTTTTTTGCACACTTTACAAAACACAAGTAAAGGTGTGTAGTGAAGCGGTAAATGCAACTGAAGGTGATTCTTCACCAGAGTTGTGGCACAAGCGATTGGCTCACATAAGCGAGAAATTACAGATTTTTGCAAGGAATTCCCTCATTCCTTTTACCAAAGGTACATTATTAAATTCTTATGATTATTTTTTATTTGGTAAACAACAAAAAGTTTCATTTTGGAAATTCTCTAGTAAAAAATCTAATATTTTGGATTTGATTTATTCTGATGTGTGTGGTCCCATTAAGGTAGAGTCTTTAGGTGGTAATAAGTATTTTCTTACTTTTATTGCTAATACTTCACGAAAGTTTGTTGTGTTCTTTTTGAGATTAAAAGACCATATTTTTCAATACTTCAAGAAGTTCCATGCCATGGTAGAGCGGAAGGTGGGAAGGTTTTGAAGTGTCACTGCACTGATAGCGGAGGGAAATACACGTTTAAAGTGTTTGAAAATTATTGCTTAGAACATGGCCTTAGACATGAGGAGATAGTTCCTGGTACCCCATAGCACAACGATGTTACAGAGAGAATGAATTGTACCATTGTAGAAAAGGTCAGAAATATGTTAAGGATGATTAAATTACCTAAGTCATTTAGGGGTGAAGCAGTTCGAACAGCGTGCTACCTAATCAATCAGTCTCCATCAACTCCTTTGAATTTTGGGATTTCAGAAAAATTGTGGACGGGAAAAGATATTTCTTATTTCACTTGAAGGTTTTTGGATGCAAAGCATTTGCACATGTGGTTAAGGAACAACGGTTGAAGCTAGATGATAAAACTAGTCATTGCATTTTTGTTGGTTACGAAGATGTTAAATTTGGCTAT